GGGACCCCAAGGGCGCACACGGTTGGGTTTCTGCCTCCTTGCAAGGCACCGCAGCACGGCGGGCGCAGGGCGCTTCGCTGCCATTTCCAACCAGAGCCCCAGGAGGTCTTGGCAGGATTTCTGTCCGACTGATAAATAAAACTGGGAAATCAGCCCTTTACCTGCTCTGGGGGGAGAAGACACCAGCCCAAGCCTGAAAGGATGGCGGGAGCATCCCTCCTCTGACCCACGCAGGTCTCCCAAGGCCAGGCACGAGCATCACAGCTGAGCCACCCTATTTTTTCCCCCCGACTGGAATCCTTGTCTCTCTCTCTCATCTCAGGAGGATCAAATTCCACCCATTTCTCCCCCCAAATGAGGGTGGGATGCCTTTTGTCCGACGCACCTGCATTACAGCAGCTCTGATATCCCTCCTGCCATGGCATCACTGCTTCTGGGAGAGCCCCGAGCCGGGCGCGTACGGGTACCACCAGCATCGCCCAACACCAGACTGCCAGCGGCAAACAGCCGGTGCCGAGGGTTAGCAGCAGAAAAAACAAATACAAATCAGAGCCTGGGGAACTGAAGTGGTTGTTTTTAACCTGATAACGCCGAAGGATTTAAATTTCCGAAACAGGTTCTTGCAAAACCTCTGCCTACATTCTCCTCCGTGGGAACCACTCGGAAGCTGAAGCCTGCGGAAATCCCCAAACTGTTGTTTGTTTGGGGCTTTTTAAAAATTCTTATTCTTTTTTGGGGGGAGAAACTGCTCTGACACAGACACTAACTGTTATTGTGGTATGCACACACTGATCTAATATCGCCGGACCCACCCAGCGCCGAAGGATGGCAGCGAGCACCCGCGCAACACCCCAGCACAACTCGCCTCCCAGCCCCGGAGATTAATGCTCAACCCGACCTGGGGCTGTAGGTCAGTTTGTTTGTTCAGGATTATTTCCCACCCCTCCTTCCTTTCTCCCTAGAAGCCAACATTTCTGTAGGGGTGGGGAAAAGGGAAATAAAAAAAAAAAACGGCTGCCCCGTGTATTGAAGCCTGGGCCAAGAATTTCCTTGCAAAAACGTGGGTGGTGGCCAAGGGGAACACCTTGCCAGCCTGCTGCTGTGCCTGGCTGCCCTCCCGCCTCCCCAGCTCTCTGCCCCATCCCTTTTCTGTTTATCACTTGAGTTTTTTCCTCCCCTTTTCTCTCCCTCTTCGCTGGATATTTGAGGCTGACCCACAAGAGCAGCAATCACCCCTTTTCAGGGCTGGGGAAACTGAGGCACGCGCAGGACCGCCACCACCTCTTCACAAGCGTGGAAGAACACGAAGCAAAACCCCACGCCGAGAGCACATCCCGGGGCAGGAGCAACTGCTCCCGGGCTGCTTGGGTGGGAGCCGGCTCCCTTCCCGCCGCGCTTCCCGTACCGAAACCCTCGATCATCGGTGGTCACCGTGCCAGAAGCAGGGCTGAGACGCGGCAGCTGTTGAACATCACAGGGCAACGCGAGGAAGCGAGTGCATCGGCCAGGGGAGTATTTTAGGGAGGCTGCCTGGTCCTCCGAGCCCTTGCACGGAAGCGGATGCAAGCTTTGGGTTCCAGCTGGGGGACAAATCCCGGAGGGAAAGCACCAGGAATGCTGGCTGATGACAGCATCAGCGCGGGTTCCCCTTTGCTTTGGAAAAATCCCCTTTAATCCCACCCCGGGTCGCCTTTGGGATGGGCTCAGGAGGGGCCGGCTCCTTTTGTCAAGGGATTAAGCGAACTCACCCGCTCAAGCTGCGAAATATCCTAAAGCGAGCCCGGGAGCCGGACACGAGGGGACCTGAGGCTCCAGGGTGGCTTTGGCTTTACCTCCAAGGTCGCTTTGACGGTCGGTCCCGGTGTCAGAGAGCCGGCAGCGGGACCCCAGCAGTGCCCCGTGCCGCACGCTCCAGCACCCGCCTGCTCTTAGAGGGAAGGGATTGCAGCAGCGCTCCTAAAACCTCGTAAATCTGCCTGGAAAAACCACGGAAGCCAGGCGAGGAATCCCAGACCGATCTCATTTTGCCGTGGTCCTCGGTCATTACCAGCTCTTGGAGTCGGGGATCGCAGATTCCTCGCTTGCAAGAGGAAGGGGGAAGGAAAAGGAGATGGTAGCCACCATGTTTGCAGAGGAAAGCTTGGAAACGCATCTCCTCCACGCCCAAGAGCCCGGAGAAATCCCACCGCAGGAACCCGCCGCTGCTGCCAGCTGGCTGGGGATGCTGCGGCCGGGTTTCGCAACCGCCCAGTGCTTTCGGTGTCTCGGCAAGCGTCCCCCGAGCCTGGCAGAGCATCTCACGAGTGCAGGTGCTCAGCCCCAACACCCTGGATGTCAGAGGGATCAGCCCTTACGCTGTCTCCTGCCTCAGTTTCCCCACATTAAAAACC